AAACTACACATACCCACTTCACTTGGGAATCGAACGCAGCACGCAGAATCTGAAGACTGACGCGCTACCGCCACTCTACCGCTCATTCACGTATACAGGTGTTTTCTTTTACCTGCAAGTTGATAACTTGCAGCTTGACAGTTTGTGTTGGCAAAAAGTTGGGAAAGACCACGAACATATTTAGCAGTGTATTTAGGGCAGCTACAACCTTGCGTATCGCAAGGCACCTTTTTGCTTATATGTTCGGCATCACCAACTGCAAATATGTAGGCCTACCCGTGGCAACACATCGCAGTGAAACACAGACACACTGCGCACGGCTTCTTTTTGTAGCATTGCCCTCATAAGGTCCAACAAGGACGACCAAATAGCGAATACCCTCTGATGAGAACCTGTATCTCTCATAAATACCCTCTGATGAGAACCTGTATCTCTCATACAGAATACCCTCTGATGAGAACCTGTATCTCTCATACAGAATATCCTCTGATGAGAACCTGTATCTCTCATAAATACCCTCTGATGAGAACCTGTATCTCTCATAAATACCCTCTGATGAGAACCTGTATCTCTCATACAGAATACCCTCTGATGAGAACCTGTATCTCTCATAAAGGGATCGGATCTGTCCCGAAAGCGGCGCTGCAGCTTTAAGAAGCCGAACTAATCGGAAAGTCTGAGCTGAAAACCTCCTCCCGACCAGGTTTGGTTGCCAGCATAAGTTACCATGGTGATACAGCGACGCTAAAAGAGAGCGACTTTCGTAGGACAGCTAACCCAGGCTTTGAGCGCAACATACCTCGCTAACCCACTAATCGAGCTTCGTAGTATACCCCCCTGGTGCATGTAGTTTAGCTAAAGATGAACACAAACAACAGCCAAACCGGGGGGGGGGGGGGGTTAACAAAGTCTGTTGTTGTGTGGTTTTATGCTGTACAGCCAGAAGGTTCCGGGTTCAAGCACCAAGTTCCTCAGTCTACCTTGAAGCCAGTTTTTTTTATTTTCTAACCCTTCAGTTTGGTGTCCCACATCTGAAAAACATTACATTTTTATCTCTTTTTAATTAGGCCTGCTTGTGCTGTGCCACACAACCGTCCCGTCTGAGATCTGAGATTAATACAGTATATTTAGAATATATATATAACATATTCCTGACATATTGCATCATACATATGTCAATATTTATAACGTGTATGATCTGTGTTTCTGCTAGATGCTGTTGGAGAGGTAGAGAGACTAGCGCGCAGGGTGAGAGAGAAGACGTCTGGGCTTCACGCCATCTACCACGCTAGCGACGCTAGCGCCACCGCAGCTGTCGCACAAGTTGGTTACCCTGTATTATTGGTGATGTATATTAAAAATACTCATACTAGTAAAATATTTATACCAGCAGGTGTACAAAAAAACTGATGATTAATTTGGGGGGTCCTTGTTTTTTCTTTGTCATTAGTGAGCAGGTTGTGACAGGATGCATATCATAGACTATATCTTGCCTAATAATAATAGTTATTAGGTGAAATAGTACAAAAAGGGTTTATTTTAAACAGCTCATAGTACTTTCGTCCATAAATGCAGAAGGTTCGAGAGAAAGTTCACACACTACATTTTACAAATTGCAACAGGACCCAGAATGCAGTGCAGGGTCTCCTCACCTGGCCTTCTCTCCACTAGGTGGTGCTGTAACTGCTCATTGCCATGGATACTCTCCATAAGCCACACACACTAACACACACTATTGCACAATGAGAGAAAGGTAGAGTCAGAGTAAGTAGCTAAATAAATATGTAATTAAGTAGCCTATATGTCCCTATAGATTTATATTTTTTTTTTAGATGGTCGAAAAAACACTAAATCAATTAACATGTGTGCCTGTGCGTGTGCGTGCGTGTGTGTATGTGTGTGTGTGTGTGTGCTAGGATAACATCAGTGACCTTTGTTCATCAGTACTGAAGATCCACTGGCCATCGTCTGCTGGAGACAGCAATCTACGCATGGTACCACACACACACAAACACACACACGCACACACACACACACACACACGCACACACACACACACACATTCTAGACTTACAAATATGATAATAAACGGAAAAAAATAAACTGATGAAGGGAAGCAGCTAATTGTATTGATATATAATATATATACAGTATATATATATATATATATATATATATATATACGTATATATATATATATATATATATATATATATATATATTATACATTGTTGTTATACTACGTATTACGCAGCAGATGGAGCTGTCCAGTAAGCTAGTGCTGAACGCAGTCAGTACCGGAGCTCATGTGCTGAAGGGGAAGGTGTACCAGAACCACATGATGGACCTCCAGGTCACCAACACCAAGCTGTACCACCGGGCCACGCGCCTCCTACAGGTAGCGACATGCAGCACATGCACACCGTTTTTACTTTCGCTTTTTACTTTCACTTACGCTTTTTAATTTCACTTTCACTAACCCTAAAGGACATGGAGCTGAAGAGTATTGGATCGATGCCTTTGTACGTCATTTTTGACTCATTCTGCAGACTGTAAGATGTTGTGTTTTTTG